AGAGTTTACCGTTACTTTTTTTTTTGGGCAAATAATAACTTTTATTACCAAGTAATAATATTTACAGCTCAAGAGAAAAACAAAACTAAGAACCACAATTGAGTCTAGACATAGTCCTAGACTACAGTTTCCCTATTTCACCATCTACGCCAACAATCTACTTCTAATTGACATTATGTAACGATTCGGTTGGTCGTTTTGAATATTACAATCCCGCTCTCCCATTTACTGCTCAATTTATGCTTTACAGTTGTTATGTGACTTGTCGGGGTGATTGGTTCGGGTTCGGTGAAGTTTTGGAATGAATTGGAACACTTAGTTCCAAGGTTTAAAGCTTAAGTTGAAATAGTTGATCGGATGTTGATTTATGTGTAAACGACCTCATAATAGAATTTTGATGATTCCAATAGCTTCGTATGTTGATTTTAGACTTAAGAGCGTATCCAGATTATAATTTGGAGGTCCGTAGTGGAATTAGGCTTGAAATGGCGGAAGTTAATTTTTTGGGAAGTTTGACCGGGGGGTTGACTTTTTGATATCGGGGTCGGAATCCGATTCTGGAATTTGGAATAGGTCTGTTATGTCATTTATGACTTGTGTGCAAAATTTAAGGTCAATCGGACTTGATTTGATAGGTTTCAGCGTTGAAAGTAGAAGTTGAAAGTTCTTAGTTTCATTAGGCTTGAATTGGGGTATGATTCGTAGTTTTAACGTTGTTTGAAGTGATTTGAGAGTTCGACTAAGTTCGTATGATGTTATGGGACTTTGATGGTATATTTGGTTGAGGTCGCGGGAGCCTCGGGTGAGTTTCGGATGGGTGACGGTCTGACGGATCATTTTTAGTACTTGGCTTAGTGGCTGAAGATTGTTGGTGTATTTTTCTAGTTTTCTTCTTCGCGTTCACAAGTGGGTATCACATTCGCGAAGGGGAATTTGAGGCAGGCAAGATTTTTACTTCGCATTCGCGAGGGGGTCTCGCGTTCGCGAAGAGGAGTTGGGGGTTAGGCGAGGTTGTTCTTCGAGTTCGCGATTGGGTATCGCGTTCGCGAATGGAAAAATAATTGGGGTGGGTTTTTGCCTTCGCATTCGTGAAGGGGAGCTCGCGTTCGCGAAGAGGAGCTCGATAAAGCATTGCGTTCGCGAGCAGTGTCTCGCGTTCGTGAAGGGCAATGTTGGGCAGCACAAATTTGTGGTTCGCGAACGCGAGGGACCTGTCGTGTTCGCGAAGAAGAGTGGTCTGGACAGAAAGTTTATGTTCTGAAAATGGGACTTCGTCCCATTTTCTATTTTTGACGGATTGGAGCTCGAGAAGAGGTAATATTTGGGAGATTTTCAAGGAAAACAACGGGGTAAGTGCTCTTAACTCATTATTGGTCAAATTACCCAAATCCATGATTGTTTTTAACATTTAATGGATGTATTAAGTTGTAAATTTTAGAAAATCCTATTGGTTTAATTTGAAGATTTGAGGGTCGAGTTGATGTAGAAATTTGGTAAAATTGGTATGGTTAGACTCGTGGTTGAATGGGTTTTCGGATTTTGTAACTTTTGTCGGGTTCCGAGACGTGGGCCCCACATGCAATATTTGAGTTAAATTTCTTATTTTATTGAAAAATTAGTATTTTCTTATGGAATTAATTATAATAAATTGTATTAACTAAATTGAATTAATTGTGGCTAGATATGAGGATTTCGGAGACCAATTCACGAGGTAACGGCATAGCAGAGTAAGAAATTACACGGTTTGAGTTAAGTAACACTTTTAAACTTGGTTTTGAGGCTATGAATCCCCAAATTGGTGTTATATAAATTGTTTGGAGGTGACACACATGATAGTTGACGAGCGTGTGGACATGCACCATTGAAATTTTGACTTGAATAAATTTTATGAAGTTGTAAAAATTAAAGAATCATGTTGTTATTTGAGCATTTCCCATGTCTTAGAGAAATTGAGCTGAGGCTCTTATTAAAGATCATGTTTAGGCTACGTGCCAATAATTTGGGATCCATGGGGTCGTGTTGCTGTTAAATTAATTATTTTAAAAATATACATTTCACACTCAATTATATTTATCCATTGTGAGAATATTTATGGGATCGAGCTGCGCGCCGCAGTAGGCCATATTAGCTTTATATATTATTATTATTATTATATGGATCGGGGTTGCTCGCCTGCAGTAGGCCTTATAAGCTATACTATTATATGGATCGGGGTTGCCTTCCTGCAGCAAGCCTTATAGGCTTTATTATTATACGGATCGGGACTGCCCGCCTGCAGTACGCCATATCGGCTTTATATCACGCTTGGGCTGAAGGAGCCCCTCCGGAGTCTGTACACACTCCCAGTGAGCATAGATGATTATATATTCGGGATGGACTTCCCAAGGCATGGACTTGCCTTACTTATTTATATTGTGATGAATTTTCCTGGACATGGATCTTGTCCGTATCATTTATATTTGGGGATAAATTACCCCAGGGCTGGATTGGCCTTATACGGTACTAAGTGACTGACTGTCAGTCGATGTGTATATATATATAGGTTGGAATATCCTTGGGCCGGATTGGCCATAAACAGTACCGAGTGACTGAATGATTTGTGACCAGTATTACATGAGGTCTTTCCACTGAGATGTCATATTCCTCATATCATGCAGTATTGATCAATTTCACTTGTACTGAGTTTAACTGTTGAACTTGAAAGCATGCCTATATTTCTGTACCATTATTTATACTGGACTGTACTTGCGGAGCTCGTCACTACTTTCAGCCCAAAGGTTAGTCTTGTTACTTATTGAGTTGGTTGTACTCATACTCCATTTGCACCTCGTGTGCAGATCCAGGTGCTTTCGGACACGGCGACCATTAGATCTCAGAGTGCTATCAGTTGGAGACAATCAAGGTAGATGCCTGGAGTCTGCTGACCTTGACTCTCTTTCTTTCAGTTATTGTATTGTTCTATACTTTCAGACATGGTTTTATCAGTGAGACTTTGTATTCATATTAGATGCTCATGTACTCAGTGACATGAGTTTTGGGAGTGTTTATATCTATATTTGTGAGATTTCTTCCGCTGAATTTAAATATTATGTTTTCAAACTTAAAAGATATGGTGGTTTATTGAGATTGCCGGCTTGTCTAGTATTGAGATAGGCGCCATCACGACAGGTGAGATTTTTGGTCGTGACATATTACATCAGTGCTCTTTCATGCTTAAGGGTAGAAATTTAGGCTATCTAGTTTCCATGACAAATGTGGCTTCATGGTCCCTCGTTAAAATATTTTCTGTATAATATGTCTGATGATGCAGCGGCTACCTCGCCTTTTGTTCTGAAATAATATTTGATTCCTCTCCTGCCATATGAAATAAACACAACCTGCAAGTGACATTCTGTAGATTTCAACATCTACATTCTTGCCATTACAGTGGGTGACTGCCCAAGCTACCTCATCATGACATCCCATTAGTTCTCTGATTATTCCCTGCCATTGTAGCAGTTGGTGCCATATCTCCACAGATATCATTCTCTACATTACACAAAGGACAAGCTGAGTTTGTGGTGATACCCCATTGCATCAACTTGTCCCTAATATATAACCTTTCATGAGCAACTAGCCTTAGAATGAATATCTATTTTGGTGCACCATAGTTATTGCACACCAGTTTCTTCCAATCTACTTTAGGGAAGTCCCCCCTTAGCTTCTTGCAGTAGTCTTTGATGGAGAACTGATGAATATTGATCAAATCTTGCATGCCCATCCCAACTTGAATCACATACTTACTAGCTTTCACTATTTTTTCTGTAGCAACCATGATACATGATTACACCTAGCTTCCTATATTGGAATGTTTGCACCATAGTAAGCATGAACCCAGCGCACCCATAATCTGTCCTTTGAAAATTGTTTGAAAATGGCAGCTTTGTTCCATATTTCTACATCAACAAAGTTTACTCGCCCCCGCTGTCATGGGATAACACAAAGTTTTCCAAGCAAGAAGTGTTTTGTTAGAACTTCCTGTATCTCCAGTCCATAAGAATCTTCGACATGTTGTCACTATCAAGTTGATTATCCTCTTTGGAAAAACAAAAATATGCGACCAATATGTTTGAATAGCAAACAAGACACTCTTAATTAGCATTACTCTTCCAGCATAGGAAAGAAACTTACTGGTCCAGCTTGTGATTTTACCCAACATCTTATCTATCAATGGCTGACATTGTGTAATAGATAGCCTTTTAGAGCTTAGGGGCACCCCCAGGTATCTGAATAGAAGCTCCCCTTTTAAAAATCCTAGTATAGCTAATATCTGTTGTTGAAGCACTGGATTAACTCCCCCAAAGTATACCGAGATCTTTGTAAGATTGGCAGTAAGTCCAGATGCCCGTGAAAATTCCCGAAAACAGTTGAATAGCAGTTGCACTGAAGTTTTATCACCCTTGCAAAATAATAGTAGGTCATCAGCAAATCCAAGCCGAGTGATCTTAAGTTTAGCACACTTAGGGTGGAACTTCAATGCCGGAATTTTTATCATATTTTTTAGTAGTCTGCTCAAGTACTCCATCACAAGCACAAATAAATAGGGGGACATTAGATCCCCCTATCTAAGGCCCCTCTTTGCTGCAAAAGGTCTACTTGGTTTGTCATTAATGTTGATTGAGTAGGACACTATTTTCAAACAGGTCATGATCTAGCTCACAAACTTTGTTGGAAAGTGCAAACCTTGTAGTACCTGTTCAATAAATACCCACTCTATAGAGTCATATTCCTTCTGCATATCAATTTTGAGCATGCATCTGGGAGATATCCCTTTCCTACCATAACCTTTAACAAGTTCATGTCCCAAGATGATATTGTCTATAATAACTCTACCCAGCACAAATGCAAATTGACTATTATCAACTAACTCAGGCATAATAGCTTGCATCCTCTTAGTAATCACCTTGGATATAATTTTGTATAGCACAGTACAACAGGAGAGAGGTCTAAACTCTTTTACACTAAGAGGGTTCCTTACTTTCGGTATGAGTGTCACTNTTAAAGCCATCACATCCAGGGGCCTTCTGATCATCAATGTCCATCAAAGCATTGAAAATTTCCTTATCAGTCACAGGTGAGATTAGCTGTAATTGTTGATCTCTGCTAAGTCTATTTCGTTCCTGAAATATATCCAATTGAACAACAGGAGGGCATGTTCCAGCAGATCCTAGCAAACTTTGATAGAATTTTAAGATTTCTGTCTCCACCTCTCTTTCTGTGTGTTCAATGTTGCCATCCAGTGTATTCAACCGTCTTATTTGATTATGGGCCACCATGTTCTTCATGCACGCAAAGAAGTATGCATTGTTTGAGTCTCCCAGGTGTAGCCATTTAACTCTTGATTTATGCTTGAGAATGCTCTCATAAATAGATATCCATTTTTCTAACTGCATTTTAAGCTCCTTTGCCCTCTCAACTAGTACCACCTGTTCATTTGGATCTCTTGATTGGACTTGGATTTCAGCCAAGAGTTTCCTGCATTCCTCCACCTTCTCACCTATCCTTGAATACTCCTTAGTGTTTAGGTTTTTCAATCCTTGTTTCACCTGTTGCAATCTAGTCCAGATGCCATGCATCCCTTGTTTATGTCTTCCATTGCTCTATTCATTGCCCACCACATTTAGGAAATCAGGGTGTTGCACCAAATGATTTAGAAATTTGAATGGTCGTGCACCCTTAATAGGGATGTCTGCAAACTCCACAACTAGTGGTGAATGGTCTGAAAACCCTGGGTCAAGAGTAGTAGCTTCCAAGTGTGTCCATCGAATTATCCATTCACTATTACCTAGTGCCCAGTTGATCTTGCTATGTGTATGATTATTACTCCAAGTATACCTCATTCTAGTTGTCTTTATCTCTGTCATATTAGTGTCCACCAGGAATTGTTGAAAATCAGCTACCTCAAATTCCTGGATTGGGTTCCCATTTAGTCTGTCATCAAGATGTGTGATGGCATTTAGTATACTGTTTACTTTTATTAAACTGTAGGTCGCGCTTGTTCTTTCAGTGACCTACTTTATTTACTTAATTTTCTTTAAAAAATTTCAAATATTCTCAACGACTATAAACACTAGTTGTTTTAGCAGCATTTTTTAATGGATTTAATTATAGGGTGCGACTTTTTCTCCTACCTATATGTTTATATAATTTTGAGTTGTTTGTGTTGAGTTATCATAAAACTTTCTATCACAAAACTTATAGTTGATCCTGTTGGGTTTAAGTCCCTCTTAGAGCTTAAAAGAAGGTGAATGAGAAATGGGGAGAAAAATAAAAATTTAATTTTCTCTCTTTGACAAAGGGACATTGTCCCATATTGGAGAAAAATACTTTTGATGGGTATATATACAATTGCTATTCTTCTAGCTCTTAAAGAGTTAAGAAGAAGGCGAGCCTCGTGCCGTCGTCATCGTCGCTCACTCGACTTGGCTTCGAATTCGGATTTTGTCAAATGATTGATTGATTAATTTTTTTGTATCAAATGCATTTGTAAATATTAACGCAATATTAATTAATACAAATTAGACCGATACTGTAACGGTAATTCAATTTTCATCCGTTTTAATTTTTCCGTTATAATTTGAATTTGGCGGTTTGCATAAATGGCCTTTTTACAAAACAACCATTTTGAGTTGCAACCTTACCTGAGGAGTTGTAACTCTTCAGTATGACCCAATATTTTTGGTTATAAATACATGAACCCTCCCTCATATTTTCCTAACGAAAATTCTGAATTCTCCTCTTCCTTTCTGCATTGTTTTAACTACAACAAAGCAACAGTAAATGTGATTTATTGCCGCCATTTGTGTTTGTTAAAACACTGGGGTTTGAAGTACCGCTACACCAGTGTGCAATCCGTTCTATCCTGGGAGGAAATAATCTACAACCTCGGGTACTAGGAGGGGGTTAAGTTTCTTAAGGATACACTGTGAATTCAGTGGGCTCAGATTAATTTCTACTTCTTCTACATTTCTGTCTATATGTTATTTTCTACTCCAGAATTATTTTACAAATACAGTACTCTAACAAGCTAAAGGAAATTAAATTTATTTTCTGTATTTGTGTTATACTCAATATTCTGGAGACTAAAACCTTTGTGGTTGTCTACTCCTGTTTTGGAGATTAAAACCTTCGTGGTTTTCTACTCCATTTGCTTACTTTAATGTATATTCTGTTTTGGTTTACTATTTGTTATTCGGAGATTAAAATCCTAGCAATTTTCTACTCCATTGGAGACTAAAATATACGTGATTTTCTACTCCAGTTTTATTCGGTTTGAAGATATAAAAATTTCGTCTTTTATTAAACGTTTGTTTGTGTCATTCTTCTACAGAAATAATGACAGAGAACGGAAACCAGACTGTTCCTATGGTGACTGCCAATGCATCGACAAGCCGAACAACACCGGCATTGGCAGAAAAATTCGGAAAATTTTGCGGAATTGATTTCAAGCGCTGGCAGCAGAAGATGTTCTTCTACTTGACGACTTTAAGTCTACAAAAGTTCATTAAGAAAGATGTTCCTATTCTCCCCGACGAAACTCCAGACAATGAATGCTTTCTCGTGACTGAGGCATGGAAGCATTCTGATTTTCTGTGCAAGAATTACATTCTTAGCGGTCTGGAGAACGATCTGTATAATATCTATAGTAATGTGGAGACGTCAAAAGAACTGTGGATTGCGCTTGAAAAGAAATACAAAACTGAGGATGCCGTGTTTAAGAAATTTGTTGCCGCTAAATTTTTGGACTACAAAATGGTTGATAGCAAGTCTGTTATTGTCCAAGTCCAGGAATTGCAAGTGATTATTCACGATCTCCTTGTTGAAGGTATAAGTCAAATTAATACTTATGTTGAAAGTATTAATTATATTATTATTACTAACAGAATTTTCATTGAAGGTCTTATCATCAATGAAGCATTCCAAGTTGCAGCGATGATTGAGAAGTTGCCTCCTTTGTGGAAGGACTTCAAAAATTACTTGAAACACAAACGCAAGGAGATGTCGCTTGAAGATCTCATTGTTCGGTTGAGAATCAAAGAGGACAACAAAGCTGCTGAAAAGAAAGGTCGTGGAAACTCCACAATAATGGGAGCAAACATTGTTGAGGATTCTCCTCAAAATAATAGAAAGAGGAAGAAGGCTTCTGGACCAAAAAGCAACCCAAGCAAGAAGCGGTTCAAAGGAAATTGCTACAACTGTGAGAAATCTGGGCACAAATCTGCATATTGTCGTGCTCCAAGGAAAGACAAGAAGAAGGGTCAAGTAAACATGGTTGAAAAGCACGAAGATATTGATGACTTGTGTGCTATGATTTCTGAATGCAACCTGGTGGGAAATCCTAAGGAGTGGTGGATTGATTCTGGAGCCACTCGCCATGTTTGTGCTGTTAGAGAAATGTTTGCTACATATGCTCTCGTTGGACCCGAAGAGACGCTTTCTATGGAAAATTCTGTAACGGCCAAAATTGAAGGATGTGGCAAGATATTTCCGAAAATTACTTCTGGCAAGGTGGTGACTCTGAACAACGTCCTTCATGTTCCTGAGATTAGGAAGAACTTAGTCTCTATTGCACTTCTTGTTAAGAACAGGTTTAAGTACGTTTTTGTATCTGATAAGGTTGTAATAAGTAAGAATGAGATGTTTGTAGGAAGAGGTTACCTCACTGAGGGCCTTTTCAAACTGAAAGTAATGGTCATTGAGAATAATAAAATTTCAGCTTCTTCTTACTTACTTGAGTCAAATGATTTTATGGCATATACGTTTGGGACATGTCAATTATAAAACCTTGCAAAAAATGATTAATTTGGAAGTATTGCCTAAGTTTGAATGCGACAAATCAAAATATCAAATATGTGTGGATTCTAAGTATGTTAAACATCCTTATAAGTCAATTGAAAGGAATTCAAATCCTTTAGACTTAATTCACACAGATATTTGCGACATGAAGTCTGTCACGCCCCAAACTCGGGGAGCACGACCGGCGCTCAACCGAGTAAATCCGGCCGAGCAAGCCTGTTAGATTTCATTCTACCCAAACTCATTCATGAAATAATAGGAGATGTACTCCATTAATCAAACACTGAAAAGATTTCATTAACAACTTCCCTTTTCATTCCCTTTAGCAGCTTCCTTTATAATTTCCAAAATATTACAAGTTTATAGAATTAATGAAATACACGGTTTCCAAATACCAACATTTCTAGTTCAATTCCTAACTTCAACCACAACCCACAACCTGTCTACGGAGCCTCTAAGTACAATAGAAGAGTAATATAGAAATGCCGGCAATAAGGCCCCGGCTATACCTCAAAACACAGTACATGAGAAACAAAAGATACGTGACCCCGAAATGAAGTGGGGCTCACCAAATCAGCTGAAAAGAGTGCACTGCTATCACTGATCAATGTTGCTTGCTGTAGAACCACCTGCATCCATTAAAGATGCAGCGCCCCCGGCAAAAGGGACGTTAGTACTATCGAATAGCACTAGTATGCATAGCTAAAGTCCTCTTTCAAAATAGAATGCCCATAAAAAAGGGCAACACATAGATACAACCGGTCATAATCAACAATATCCAAATGTTCAGTTAAAACATAATACTTTTCAAAATATGAACTTCATATACAATTTTGGTTGGGAGATCATTAGCACCGATATACCACCGTCTTTATTAACACAGAGTTTGATCACGCCCGATCGGCTAGGCCATCTCCCCACGAACAATGTGGTTTGACATGTGATGCGAAAGAAAGTTGTTACCAAGAGTAGTATCACCATATGCGCAATATGGCGTCTGATCTCTACCCGATCAGCTAGGCCGCCTTCCTACATATGCCGTGTGAGCTGACTTTTCCAATCTACAAAGGTTCCAGTTTGATCCCAATTAAGGGGAATAATATCACAATTTCCCAAAGGTTCCAATTTCACCCCAAATAAGGGGAATAATCTCAATCTACCCCTACACCGGCACGTGAAGTTTCAGGTGTGGGCCTTATGACCCACAATTTCTCAGTTTTGCTAATGATGCTCCCAAAAATATTTTTGATTTGATATGCAAACAGAAATATCATAAATACAATTGTACTTACCTCAACATCTTTCACATTGTATAAATTCTCATTAGTATTTCCAGTCATTCACAACGACAATATTTCCTTGGCTCATTAGGCCATTCACAAGATTCTTTATTCCCGGCACGATGGCCGTATTTCATATTCCACACTTTCACCTCTTTCAATTTCAAAGATCACCATCAAGTATCAACATATAGGATATTTCAGAAATCATATACTTCAAATCCATTTGAAATGAAAACTTCAAACACAAATGGTTTCTTCCCAAAGAATGAGGCATACCATCCAACAATAGAAACACACATGAAAATCATAAACAATCAATTCACCATTTATTCTTACAATGCTCTTCCCTAGTAATGACAATGTACCAGTTCAACACATGAGTATATAGAACTCGAATCACACTAGATATATTTATAAAGCAAAGCATTAGTTAAAGCAACCACTAATGGGCATGAATTGAGTACAAAAGCCTTTAGGTAATTCTATCTTCGAAGTTA